AAAGAAATCATCAAAAGGTCGGGCATCGAGAAACATGTTCACTGGTCTCGTTCTTACCGTATTAAACCGGGCCGCATTTAATGACAAACGCAAGACCAGAAGAAAGGAAAACGTAAGCTCCACATTACCGCGGAACAAAACGAAGAAACCAATGACCAACGGGACTAAAAGCAACTTCACTTCACCCTGCCGAATCGCTGCGAAGAAGCTGCTAAGACGAACTTGTTTTCCCAACCCGCTCCGCGCATGTTCCGCTACAGTTTTCGGATGATTGACAGATTTCTTAACTGGGGCGATCATGGAAAGCCGAAAAGCGCCGTTGCCAGCCCCCCCTGCGTAAGAGGGTTGCAAAGTCTGAAGCGATACTGGCCTTACTTGATACCTTTCAGAAGCTGCATCTCGAGTGGTAACCTAAGTAATTATTGTATTTGATGTTTGTTTTTTATTCCTAATTTAATGAAGTCGAGGGTAGTTTATGCCGCTATTTTGTTTACGCACGTTTATCAGGTTTGTTATAAGCTTACAGATCTTTAAAAAGCGTTTAGACATTTTCTCACCGCAAATAGAAAAAAAACGTTTCAAAGAATATTTAGCTATAATTCTGGCTGTAAAAGAAAGGTTTGACCGATTTTCTTGCCTCGAGTTCGTCTTTGGAAAAAGCAAACACCAGGAAGCCGGCTTAAAACATAAACTTCAGCTTTAAGCTCGAAGACTCAGGATTTTTAGAGACACTTTAATACTTGTCTTCCTGAATGAAAATTGTCGTCTCTGTATATGTTTCACCGAATTATATTTCTTTTATTGATTGTTAGTACTCTCTCTTGTAATTTTAATCGTTGTGCCGATTGTTTTCAGTCGTCCAGTAAACAACGCTTCCCGGAGTACTCAAAATGCCGCGCGTTAAACCGTTTTAAAATAAAAAAATAAACATAATAAATTCTTTATTATGTTGGAGCTTAACTCTGTTAATGTTCATTCAAACACTCGCCACTTCTAGCACTGTAAAAGTCAGAACCGGCTGGCCGTATAGATGATTTTGAAAATTTTTTCAACGGTCTACGGCTAAAGCCCACGCGTGCTTCGATCGTCCTGAATAGCAATTTGTATCGCAATATGGTGAAATACTGCATTCTGTTGTCCGAGTTCTGTATGATAAAAACAGTGCCTCATAGTACTGTTTCACCTCAGATGTGATGTATAAATGATATAAAAGGTTGGTTTACATACGCCCAGATTTGTTGGCAAGATTTTGTAAAATAAACTTGTCGAACGCAAAAAATTCGGCCGGGATTTTTTTTCCAGGCCTAACTAATCTACGGTGATCAAGAGCCATTATGGCTCTTAATAAATGTGATCGAAGGTGATTGCCAGTTTTTGGGTGTTCTTATGAGGCTATCAACTCGATGTGAGATTTGGTTCACTCTTGGGCTGTTTGCAAATTATTTTTCGTAAAATCACTCAGCCTTTCCCTGAAAAGTCACACGAATGTGCTCTAAAGTTAACTGAATTGTGGAATAACTATGATTTAAATTATAAATTAAATCGTGTAATGCTAAACGGGGACAACAATGAAAATGAGTTCAAGACTAATAGATCTATTAGCAAAAAAACAAATTGAACGTGCAGCACACTTTTTCTTCTAATTAGCAAAAAACATGCTTTTTTGTCTTTGCCTTGCCGTTGTTTTGCACGACTACAGCGTTGTTTTGAGGATGTCTAAATGTCGCGGGTAGAGATCGCGGGTGCGGGTGCGGCTAAGTGTCGCGGGTAAAAATAATTCACCAAATTAACAAAAAGATAAAATAAACAACAAAAAAATATACTTTTAAATTTTTTTAACTAGACTAGTCAGCAGCACAAAGGAAGACTTATTGTAGTTGTACGCTTTTTCGTTTGTCTCCGACACGTTTCGTCTCCTACTGAGACTTCTTCAGGGAATGAATACAACTAACAAAGAACAGCATATATAACACGTTTTCTGCGTCAGTAAAACTTCCGATAGAAGTCTGAATAATAACTTAACTATGCTGTAAACGGACGTTATAAGAAACGCCTTAATACATATGTTATTGCGTGTTGTTATATTTTGGGGGCCATACGATCAGCGCTAATCGTATGGGCCCAAAAAACTCAACGGAACTATCGGACTCCATCAGGATAACGAATCGATCGAAGTAAACCTGGAAATGATATTCCTTTTTGTCAGTGTGGAATCAGAACTACGAAAGTTTTACCCACGTGCACAGATATTGTTGCCGTGATCAGGCCGCCAGTAACGTGGGAAAAATTCGATTTACCAGGATGGCAAATTCTTTCGTGCTACCGCGTCCGCGCCAAACTTGAGCACGAACGACGAGTGACAACTCTCGATTCATACTTTTTAGCTAAGGAATTAAGTACACGCAAGTCTCATTTAGTGCAAAAAAAAAAGTCAAAGCTGTATTTTCGATGAACCATATTATGTCTTCGCATATACATAGGGTAAAACCATTTCTTTCAAGTGGACAAGTCACATAAGCTGACACTGCAGACCCCTACACTGAATAAAGAAGGGGTCAAGAAGGAGAGAGAAAACATAGGGGGTGGTCAAGAATGTCGTTCAAGGGGAGGGGAGAATTTCTTACTTCAAAGAAGTAGTCACCTTTGTAAGATCTTGCTGGAGGTCTTAGTAATTTCTTTTTGTTTTATTTCAAGAGCTCGTAGTTGAAAAACGAAAAAAGTTCTAGTTGAAGTATTACAAGGTCTTCTTAAATGTAATAGCTATTTCTAACTCTTTCCTGTCTAACCTATCACAGCGCTGGACCCTGGTTTCACTTGCCATTTCCAGGTCTTGGGGCGGGGGGGGGGGTCTTGACGAAATTTTGATTTTTCCATTTTTCCTCAGAAATGAAGAGAGAAATATACTAGGCATGGAGGAAACAAAATTTAAGACTGATCACTCGCAACATGGTAATGATTAAAAACCTACCGGGAGATTACGGATTTATGCCACCAAAATAAATTTTATTTGTCTTGATTTGCAGTGAAAAAGGAAAAAAGAAGTTAGTTTTTCAGTCCGATAGGGTTTCCGCCGTTTAAAGCGGACACTGAATTTGTACACTCCCTTTTCAATACACTTCGCTGCTGCATATAGCTAATATAGAGAGGTCAGCAAAGGGCAAACTACTTTTTTGTAATACTGCAACTTAGTACCCTTAAACCCTTGGGCGTACAAGATAGGGGAGTGGGTGAAATCCCCGGAAGGTTTTTTGAATCAACCACCAAGACAAGTCATCACATATCCACTGATACTTTTCTTTTCTCTATCAGAACTTAAACCTCCTCCCCAACAAATCCCAAACGCAGGTAGCTTGGTTAGTTAGTGCAATTTTAACTAGCCAATGTAGTTTTAATCATGTGGATTTTTCTTTAGTGACTTTTTCCTTTGTATCGCCCTTAGTTAGCTTTAAAATATTGCAAATCTTCTTTGAAAGATAATCAAATTTTCCTTTATTTTATTAACAATTTAATGTTAAATTTGGTGGTTTATATGTTTACCCTAACCCTTACCCGCACCCGCACCCGCACCCGCGACCTCTACCCGCGAGTCGCGACCCGCGACATTTAGACGTGCTCCGTTGTTTTGTACGACTAAAACGTTAAACTTCCTAGTTACACATTATTTTTATGGAGGAATTGTCATATGTGCTCACCCAATATTTTGTTCATGTTCGCTTTTATTTTTTACTGCCGCTCATTTTTACCTTGATGACCGCTAGCATTTCTCATTTTCTCACCGCCGCTTTGAATTTCCATGTTTTTCTTCCTACGAAGTTCGCCTCCTTTGTTCTCAGTAACTCGCTCTAGCTCTTTCTCTGTTATCCACGTTAGTGTAAACATTAAAAATAACACCGAAAAAGACACGACTTTGTTGTTGTTTTTTCTTTCTAAAAGTCCCGGCGGCCATGTGATTTCCTTCTAAATAAAACCTCGAGTTGCATTTGGGTTGCCATACCTGTTGATTGAGTTATTTTAAATTGGTATGCCTGAGGTGCGGACGGACGGTCGCTCGCTCAGGGTACGGTCACGTGATTACCAAATTTTCTCGGATGGGTAGATTACCACATTTCCTTAGCTATGGGGCTCCGCTAAAATCAACTATTACAGCTGATTCTTAAGTCGCAGCACAAGCCGATTAATAAAATAATTTACCAAGAGAGATACGAATTGCTCTTACTGAAAAGAAAACAACAACTTAATAGACCTTTTCATGGTTTTCGACGCCATCTTGACGGGTAGGTAACCGCGTGAGAAATTACAGTGTTTGTATGAGGTCGAACAATTTCCGTAAAACGGCTGTTCTAATAAAAATATGAGTTGTAAACTAAGCTACAAAGCAAAAGATTGGGCATCTCGTTTATTGATGCGCAATATGAAGCGAGCGTTACAGCATTAGGGACACATGCAGCGTTACAGCAGTATAAACTCTATCAACACTAAGTAAATAGGGATGGCTAGAATGTCCCTTGCATAACTTGACAAGCCTTAAATAGTCTACTTGTCTGTAGGAAGGCTTCACAAGCAAGCCTTAAATACCTAATAGTTATCACTTAGTGTAGTTAGTGTACGTGCTCTTGTGAGACCAATTAAAAGTAACTTTACAAACTATATTTGACTGTTATTGATTGAATTTTCGCCGCTAGATTTTTTTTCAAATAGTACACAAAAAGACCAAAAGGTTGAATTGAGCAGAAAAATGTAAATATACAAACTGAATTAGGTCAGCACAGGCTGTGTTTTTCAGGTGCATCGAATGATCCATGATGGCTAGTTAACCAAATACCTGCTGTTTAAGCTCAATATACCATTTTACAGTTGCGGGCTTTGTATCCTAGCCTTTGCGTGAATGGGAGGCTGAGGTTGACTTTTTTTAACACAAATGTTTGCATAAGAAAACAGGAAGGGTTGTGTCAAAACAAGGTCAACTCAAGCCTCGCTTCCATCCATAACTATACAATGGGTTAGTCTAATAGCTTAGTGTTCGTTAATTCTAGATTAACCTCCTGCGTTGCCATTACTTGCTCTTGTCTTGCTCGTTTCGCTGTAAATGAACATTTGCAAGTAAAAAAAACAGATGACCAGAGATTCTTTAAGGCTCGCTTATAATTTGTACTAAACACGAAAAGAATGATGGGATTAACTGCTGTACTCAAAGAGGGGAAGACATAAAAAGTTAAACCTACAAGTAACAAACATCTGTCCTTTATGAACAGAGATGGATATAGTTTTTTGAGAAACAAGTAAACACTAAGTGGAGTCCAGCAAATAAAAAATGCAACCACGATTGATATCATGATCTTCACAATTTTCTGATTCTGCTGCTGTCGTTTTGTGCCTTCGTGACCTTGTAGCAATTCTCCTGGCTTTGTTCTCTTTTTAAGACTTCTCAAGATCGCCGAATACAGAATAATAATCGTGGTGAGAGGAAAGAGGTAAAACAGAATAAAGCCAACACCATTAAAAATTGTCCGCGGCCCGTCACTCATCATAAATCTACAAAATGTTTGACCGCCTACTTTGATTATATCCGTGAAAATAGCTTGGGGCAAGCCATAAGATACAGCTATCAACCAAGTTAATGATAGAAAAATTACCCGAATCTTCACCTTCATTATAATTCTTTTTAAAGGAAAAACAATCGCAACAAATCTGTCCAGTGCAATTAGCGCAAGACTCAAAACTGAGACTAAGTGAGACACAGCTTTAAGGTACATTCCCAGTTTGCAAGCAGATGAAGCCGAAGACCAACTGATAAAGACTTTTGGTGTCAACATCCCTTCAGTGACGTACAGTGGCCAATTAAACAATATAGCGAGCAGGTCGGAGGCAGCCATGTTTACGATGTAATAGTTGGTGCTTATCCGCAAGCTTGGGGTCTTTACGAAGGTTATAACTACCAAGATATTTCCGATGAGTGCTGCTATGCTTATCACAGATAGAGTTGATGTAAACATGATGGACGCCATAGCGGAGCATCCTTGCGATGTGGAGTTAAACTGGACTTCTGTGGAATTATTCATCTTAAATTGCTTCAGACTGCAGCAGGGGTTTAAGAGTGGAAATAACCTGGAATTTAAAAAGAAAAAAAACTTAAGGAATACCTTGAATTTATCCGCTTTCCCATCCTTGCGCCGTATTACCAGTATTGGAAGGAAGGAAAACACAAACACAAAGACTTGAAAGTACAATGATAATGGGAATCTAGACACTGATGGCATTCTAACGTATTAAGTTATAATTCATTAGACTGCGAGAAGACCCTTTTTTCTTCATATTTAGTGAAGGGAGTGAACGCGTGCGCGAGAGTCGGGCGGCGAAGCGATAACGTCAGCTGTTAATACAAGCAACAATCACAGGGAAGGAGCGCTTTTCAGCATCGGTGAAACTTTATGCGCATTACTTTGTGTACCTTTGTTTACTTTTTCAAGTGATAACATAATTAAGTAAAGCAGTTAGTTTAATAGCAGGCGTCCCTTTCCTTCTCTCCCTCATCCCCTTTCCCTTCAACCCCTTTCGGCGCTTGTGACTCAGGCAACACTGGCCAAGCGAAACGTTTCGTGTTCTTCGCTGTATATTTTGGTTTCAGTATTGTTCCCCTGATATCGCAAATGCTTCCCAACCCAATGAAACCCTTGGGTCAATACTCAGTGGTAGGTGTGCCTAACGAGGCTTTGTTTGGAAGCAAGACGTGAAAGAAACCACTTGAGTAGATCGTACATTAAAGCTTAATCCACGTGTGACGTCTCTTTCACAGTCATTCTGCACAAGCATACCACATTGCAGGATAACAAATACAGCAAAAAAGATAGCGAGCCTTGAAATAGCTTTTAGGAGTGGTTTTGACTGAATGGTCGCTCCGTAGGTAGGATTTAGTTCAACAACAGACGAAAACGCAAGCGAGACACCATGGGTCGATGAATTAAACGAAGTCTCACTTAAGCCGCGGTTTAACAAATCTTTGGACCTGAAGATGTCTTTCTTAGTGGGTTATTTTAAGAAGATAAATACTTTTCTTGTCTACTCTGTACACTTTCACAAAACTGTTTACAATAAATGATGTTTAGATGAAACCGCTGGGCAAATAGAAAATGTCTTAGAACGCGGTTTTGTTTGCTAAACTACGTTTAAATAACTGGCCCCATGAATTTAACACAGATACCACAGTAGAGAAACTGGCTATACCGCGTCGGATTTCTCGTAGAGACTCAGAAAACAAGTTTTTGAACGACATACCTCTACGCCGAGAGAATGCTGGAGAGATCCACAGTAAAATTAAAAATCGCTGAATCTAATCTCAGTTCACTTATTTTGAAATCTCGCCAGAAGCGTGAAGTAGTTTTTCAAGTTGTTCGCAAGCACTTTTAGGCACCACTCACCTTTGAAATGAATTCCGTTTAGTACTTTGAAGTTTGATATCCTCACCTGAACGTGAATGTCAGATACTACTTCATTCTGAAACGAACCAGCAAAGGTACCCGGCGCATTTTACCTAATATTATAATTAACTGAATTCGTCGTCTTCCTGTTCTGTATTTAAATCTTGCACACATGACGCAATATTCGTGTGCTCCGGCTTTACACGTCACTGATTACATTGTATGCGTGATCACTTTGAAAATAAAACCAATTCTTCATTGCACCCGGCAGTAATTATATTAGGAATAATTTGTAGATTAGGAAGTGCGGTCGACATACCTAACTTAATGGCTGACGTTAATTAAAAATTGCAAGGCAAACAGCAAAGGAAATGATATTAAAAGGACCTATGACCTCTCACGCAAAAGTAGTCGTTAATCTGGTGTTCAAGACCCAGGGAGTACTCAGAGAAGCTCCTCCCCGAGGTCCGACCCTTACCCTTTTACATACCATTTTTGACTGAAAGGTAACCCTTTCGTATACCATTTATTGACAAATGGTACCCCTTTTAATGCCTAGTTTAGACCTTTGCATGATCCCTTTCAACTGCTGTAAATGCACTTACTTTAAGATATGACCAAATCACAAAAGCAGAACGTTTTCTCGACTTTATCTCAGCTATAAAATGCAGCTGTTAGCCTCAGTTTGAGCCTTTCACCGACCTAAAAGACAGATTTCCCTCCCCTTTCATATACTTTAGCAACTGACGTCCCTACACTATCATATACCTTGAAGCCTGAAAGATCTCTAGTCGGCTTGCATTTGTGGGATCAGAGGTAAAAAAAAATCAGCCGATTACGCGGATTGAGTTGTTCCTTCAGAAGAAAAATTGGGTAAAATTTAAGTACAATCCCATACATTTACTGTGGAACCTCGATAAAACGAAGGGCTTTGCGACTGGCATAACTTGTTCGCTATTCTCAGTTTTCACATGACGTTACTAAAATTCAAACTAAGAAACTACTGGTTCTTCTGAGTTTCCACTTTCATGAGGTATTACAGCCCGGGCTTAGCCACGTGCAAAAATGGTAGGAATCGTAAGGAAAAGCTGAAAAAAATGTGATACCTTTATTTAAACAAATTTTCTTCGAAATTCAAATTTTCTTTCCTCGGTTCGAAAGGGGTCTTCATTTTGCGATGGAGAACGCTTGAATTTCCAGGCTTTTGCATGACGCGGCCTTTAGCTGGCGGCCGGGGAAGCTCTTTTGTGGGTTAAAAACATTACTGATTTTCTTAGATTTTGCTATCTAAACATTCCTTATCTCAAAATGAACTTTAGTTTAATCTTTATGAGTTCCTCAAGCGATGAATTCGCGCATTAGTGGGAGAACTCAAAAACAGATCAGGGGCACCCAACGAGCAAATAGTTCAAAACCACTTAACATAGCATTGTTGAACGTATTTTAGTATTTGAACGGTAGATATAGGCATATTTTCATCCCCTAAAAACTTTCCATCTGTTCGGATTTCCTAGCTGAAAGTCTAGTGATCCGAAAATTATAGGGATCAAAACTTACCTTTTCGAAAATTTCAGCCAGGAAAAGGCTCCCGAAAATTCTAGGTGGCCTTTTTTAGGGTAAATATCCGTGTAAAATGGGTAATTATACCATTTTGTCGATGTTCGAAAATCCTAGAAGAGGCAGGCAAGCAAGAAATTTTACAACAAATTTTCCGAAAATTCTAGTTCTCAAATCGTCTTCCGAACAGATATTTTCCCGAAAATTGCCGTTGGGTGCCCCTGACAGATGTTTCTGTTGGTTTCGGGAGGCCATATTGATATCTCTCAAAGGGACACCAACATGCTTTATAAAATTGGGTAAAACGTTTTTCCGAATATCTCGCACATGAAAAATTGCACATGCTTGATTCTTAATAGTGAGGCTTTTTGTATATTTATCTTCTTTCACTTCCCAAATTCTGGACTTTCTGCTTTAAATGGTTTCGATTTTTATTTTTGATGGCGTGACAGTGAAAACAGAGAATATCGAGGTTTCGTTATTTCGAGCCCTCGTTAATTCATGTATTTTACTATTTCTGGGGTAAAAAATTGTCGCTATACCGAGAACTTGGTTACATACAGGTTCGTTACGTCGAGGTTCCACTGTATTATGAACAAATGTCTCAACTCTAACACAGGACAATTTTGTAACAGCTCAACACTGAACCACATACCAGAGTTCTGTCTGTCAAAAACATTCTGTCAAAAGCATCCGGATTCACACAGTAAAATACTTTCCGGGCAGTGATAACACAAGCCACAACCGCATTTATAAGCCTCTCCAAGCGTAAAAGGGCAATGTCACGAGGGTATTACTGTTTTGGTCAATTCTGTACTAAAGTCATTACCATATATATTCGATTAAACGCAGCGGCGTTTATTAAATTTGCAGCGTTTCCGATGCGGCGTTTATTCGAGGGCGGCACTTATTTCGAGATCACTTTTCCTAACTTACTGAAAACAGTTACCGTAAAAAGTTTGTAAACTGATTTTGTCATTTGAAGGTTTCAAATATAATGGGATAGAACTGTAAATGTCTGGATGGTGTAGATTACCAAGTTGTACCGAGGCTTTTCTTACTGTACTCGAATAGAAGCCGCTTTACTTCTATTAGCTGCGGTGTTTATTCGAGGGCGGCGTTTATTGATAATTTTCCTTCCATCGGCGGCGTTTAATCGAATGAATACAGTACTTAGTGCCTTTACCCATACGCAAAAAGCTCTTGTAGAGTTATGAAGAAGATATCAAACAAATTTCATTCGGGAACTGAACTAATAATTGCAGGTATTGCTCTAAAACAGGACAAAGTTGGTCCAATTTTTCAAGCTTCAATCCATGTCCTTCCTTGCCATCCTTATAGCAACAGACGACAGGAAACAGTTTTATAACGCCAAAATATAGTCTTTTAAAAATATCAAAACTGGACCGTTATGCATGCAAAGACACCTTTGGGCTTTTAAAAACATAGCAAATAGAGTGACGTAATCCCTTTAATGTGGGGGAAATATCATCAAAGAAGCTGCAGTCACGGTTGTCTAATTCACATGTTGTTAATATATACATTTTTTCAATTGCGCTTCCTTGTGCGCCATGAACTTAAGCGTCACTTAAAGTTAACGAAAAATTACTTGTAAACGACAAAATCGCAGCCTCTTATCCAACAAATATTCTCCAGTGAATCAACCTTTATAAACAACAAATGAATTTAGAAAAACTGTTAGGCTAACAAGTTTTCAATAACCCGCAATTTCAGTCCGTTTTAATCTTCTTCGAGTTTGTCCATCCGTGCCTACTTTTTTATTTGTTGTGTTGCTGGAAATACGTGCATCGCAGAACCTCGCGGAGCTCGGAGGAGGAGTCCGTAAGATGTCAGGGATGAGAGGGCAGGAGAGAAACAGAGTCAATTGTTTGACTGGGGAGGGAAGGTTTCAAAAGCTGCTCTAATAGTACTCAATCTTTTTTGGCTGGAGTAAATTGGAACCCAGTGTCAAAAGGAAATGGGTGTGACAGTGGATGACTGCAGTCTAATATGCCGTTAAATTTGCTTAAAGAAAGCTAGCCCATGTTATCTCTAATAATAATTTAACAATATCGCTAAGGGTGACATTAGTAGTATCTGCTATAGCCCTCAGATGCAGATGTACTTGTTTTCGATGCTGCGTATCTAATAATTAGTGGATGAAATGGTGGGAGGTTATGCTGCAGTGAAAACAACAAGTAAATGCTGGTAATTGGATAAAAAAAAATATTTATTGTTAGTGAAGTTACAGCAATTAGCGTTTTTGTACTTGTTTTATGCATAATCACATTTGACAACTAGTGCTTGTAACATTAAGGTGCAAACATAATCATTGAATATAGAGATTACATGTACAGCAATGTCATTAAGGTTGAAGTTGGTGGAATCAGTTAATGAAACAGGGGCACCCAACGAGAATATAGTTCAAAACTACTTAAACATAGCATTGTTGAAGGTATTTTAGTGTTTAAACGGTAAATATAGGCATGTTTTTATCCCCTAAAAATATTTCATCTTTTCGGACTTCCTAGCTGAAAGTCTAGAGATCCGAAAATTATAGGGATCAAAACTTACCTTTTCAAAAATTTCAGCAAGAAAAAAGGCTCCCGAAAATTCTAGGTTACCTTTTAGAAGAAAAATCCATTAAAAATGGGCAATTATACCATTTCACCGCGTAAGGTAAAACATACAAGATGGGTACCAGCCATAAGAAAACATCATCAAAAAACACCCGAATTTTTACATTCATTATCATTGTAGCTCTTAAAGGGAAAACAATAGCTACAAATCTGTCCAAGGCGATAAACACAAGGCTTAGGGTACAGACTACCTGTGAGTCCGCTCTGAGGTACATTCCTAATTTGCAAACAGTCGAAGCCATACAGTGTACGACTTATAGAGACAGTTGGCGTCAACATTCCTTCGCTGACGTACAGCAGCCAATTGAACAACGGTCCGAGGAGGTCGGAGAAAGCCATGTTCACGATGTAGTAGTTTGCGCTGGTCCGCAAGCTGGGGGTCTTCATACCAGTGGCAGCAACCAATTGCCGATAAGCGCGGTCGAGCTAGTCACAGATAGAATTGATGTAAACATTATTGACGCCATGGCGGAGCATCCTGGCGATGTGGAGTTTAACTGAATTTCTGTTAAATTATTTATTGCTTAATTTTTTTCAGACTTCAACAGAGGCTGGAATAGGTAACCTGTCTTAAGAAGGAGAACTAAGGGGTAAATCAGTTGTTTATTCATAAATCCTCAATTAAACTGGCTCATAGGCTTTTAAATGTCATATGCCGGCATGAGACAGTTGGCTCTTTTCATTTCTTCGCCATATTATAGACTGTCGTTGTTATGATTTTTTTTTTAACATAACTACAAACTCTCAATTTAGAGAGCTAACGAATAAAAAACTGAGTAAATTGTAATAGCCTCTTTTTATTAAATTCATGAAAAGTTTCCTTGCACTGAAGTGTAGGCCTGTGTCACTTTGTGACAATGGAACCGTGCCAGTACTTTGTATCCAAAGCCCATCCCTTTTTGTCATTACTACTGGGAACAACTAATGTCACCTTTGGCAATAAACCTTAAAACAACACTCTTTGATGCTCCGTGGATTAGCAAACCTTATAAAATAAACACACATGATCATGAATAGAAACGATATTTCCATGCAGAAAGTGCGACAGCTTGGGCACATTCAGCAAAAACTACGTCACGTCATATGAGAATGTAAAAGCGCGCGAAAGGACTGAACGTCACTTCCGGTGCTTTGTTTTTCGCTCTAGCACTGGCCAAGGTCAGATAGATTTTAGTTCTATATTTTTGGTGTTCTGTGTATCCTCTTACACTGATGTGAAAAACCTGTCGTGGAAATCAAACCTCCTGCGTGCCTGTACATGTATAATTCAAACAATTAACGACAATCTTTTCTAGCATTTCACTCCAGTGAGGACACACGGTGAAAAGAGTAAAAGCCGAGGCTTGGGTGGACTATTTCATTAGCATGGGACCAGGCTCCTTTGAGGGAAAAATGCCGGAGAAAACATTCAGCAAGCGAGGACTGGATAGGGAGGGGGGAATGGGTGGACCCCACTACTCCTCTTCCTTTTCTCCGTCACTGTCTCACACTGTATTTTGTAACGACAAGCGAGTGGGTGCCTTTATTCACACGAATCCAGAAATGATCGATTGCTCGCCATGACCGTCTTCTTGCCATGAGAACCCTTAAACTGTTTAAAACATTAAATACTCTGAAGATGACTACCGCACCGGTTTTCGAAACTTCAGTCACTCTCAACTGACAACAGTCCTATTCTGGACTACGTTCACCCGGACGATCAAACTCAACTTACTTTTGAAATGACTCCTGGGTTCAAACCTTTCACAGTATTAAATACTCTGCCGCGCTTCGCTCTTTGGGTTTTTTGAACTCCTTTATCGGTGTTTGATTTGTTAGCTGCATGATGTATGGTGCATGACTTGGGTGTTACTAAGCACTCGAGCATCCATACTGATAATCTACAACTCGATAATCACGGCTCGCTAGATATTTCATTTGTAAGGACAATTTCAGGATCAAACGAAAAAACGATCTTTTCAGAACCTGGTTGTCTCAAACATCAATCTTACAAGGAAATGTTCGAGTTCAAGGTAAAATTGCCGGAAATTTTTGAAAATCACTTAATATTCTGACGGTGACTAAGCAAATCCCACCGTGTCTTTTTTGCTGACTGTTTGTACAATATTGTTTCACTGATACTAACTGCGTCATTGGGTCGCTAGTAATAGTCGGCCATTCTTAGGCTTTGTTCAAAGGCACAGGCGTGAAAGGAAGTCTGCTTTTCCGAAAATCACAGTCCCAAAAAGACTACGATGAATCAACTAGATGGCACACACACCTTTTCCCTACATGCTGCATTTCAATCAAGTTCTCATGTTATTTATTTTTGCATCCTAAATGTGTTCAAAAACTAGTCGATGAAAATTCCAAGTCTGAAATCATTGTTAAATGAACCAAGACAGACAAAATTGCCATGGGAAAGTTTAAAACTCTGCCACAGGATTTGGCAGACTTAACTCTCACGGCCAAACTCACACAATCTTCCGACAACTCAAGGGTGAAAATAATTTCACAGTAAAAGAAGAATTTTTAGTTTTAATGTGATTGTGCGATCGCTAAATATGCGTCCGACGCTCTCAAGAATAAGTTTTTGGGCTTGAAAGTTACTTTGCTGATTAACTTTCAGTACCTGAAAGCATGATACATGAACTTCAATTGTGATCGTGATCCATTGTTTAATTTTTCCCACACAAAGGACCGCGGTAACGCCGAGGAATTAATTTCAGCAAATTTTTATCTTTCGAAGTTAGCCTGGAGGGCAATCATTATATTCACAGCGATCATGTTGAACTCGTGAGGCCGGCAGGTCAGTTTGCCATCAAACGAAGGGGGACTAGTTGTCAGAAACATCTTCTACTGAAATTAAGGATAGAAATCAAACCTCAATTAAACTAGTAAGTTTTCAAAAGCTATCTTAAGTTTGTTTAAACTTTTTACTAGCCAGCTCTGCACGTCATGTCTATGTAATGGTCTTAACCCTGACTTACCTGCGATGAAAAGTGAGCCCAGCTTCTCCTTAAAGAGTCTTCTTTGAAAATTTTTCTTGAAGTTAAGCAAAATGCAATCCTTTATATTAAGACGTCCCAGCAAATTAGTAAAGTCTATCATTACAGCCGCAAATTTGTCTTCCTGTTTCAAGCGGCAGTTTGTTGTACATGTCAATATATATATTAGCCCCTGCTTTACACATCCGATATACATTGTGTACTTAATATATAATTTAATATAGACAATGATTTAAAAAATGTTTCTTGTTTATGGTAGACAAATACATTTTCAACAATCATTCATGGTCAACATCACGGGAAGTCTACTTAGCCATTATTCTTCGCTTGAAGTCATTCTCTAGAGTAGCTTTTTACTTCGGATTCCTCAGATGTGAAATTGAGCACTGACCTTGAGCTCAGTCGCCATGCAGCAATATAGACAGAAATGAGGTCAAGCCATTTGTACACCAAAATGCGAGTTTTTCGTACTTTTTGGGAAAAAAAGTGTTACACAGAACCGGGAACAAAACCTAGTTTGAATAAAAAGCACTATACCTGAAGCGTCAAAAATGATTAGCTTCTGACCTATTAGCACAAAGCTGAATTTTCAGCTAAGCGCAAGGTGGCGCAGGTCATTTTAAATGACGTCAGAGGTCTCCAACAGCGACATATACCATAATAGTTTTATGACCTTGTAGTTGGTTTCATATAGACAGCTCCGTTTGTTATGGTAAACATTATAGCACGGCAGAAGCCTAAGGAGCTGGAAGGGAGGGGGGGAGGGCTTATTGAACCACACCCCCTTTTCGCCCTTTTCAAAGTTTTATAACTGCTTAGAAAATCACCTTTGATAAAAATTCTCATGGTTAGTGCTTCCTGATGAAATTTGATTGATATCTACTTCTCTCAGTAATGACCTCAGCACATAATTGACCTGCCTAAAACAGCAATATCATCGTCATATAGTCCCTTTAAGCTGATACCTCGTCTTGCAGACGTCATCGCGTCACGCTTTCAAGAACTGGTAGTGGATATCACTGAGCAGTTATTAGTCACGAACGTGGACTAATGTGAACAACAATGATGGCGAGAATAAGCAGAATTTCCTTTAATAACCACTATACGTCGAGTCCCTGTAAAGACTTGTTATTTTGAATGCTGAACATTGTTTGAGTCAAACGAGACGACATATTGAAGTAAATGTGGAGGTTAAGAGACAAAATCACGGACAGTGCGGTTTAATTTCTGTCAGTTCTACTTTTACATTTTCTGTTGCCAATGATTCAGGCTGCCCAAGTTGTTTCTCTTCACTTTCACGTTTACAAACAGAAAAATCGAATGAGCAAAGAACCTTCAAAGCTCGATTATAATTTGTACTAAGCACGAAAAGAATGATGGGATTAACAGCAGTACTTAAAGAAGGGAAGACATAAAAAGTAAAACCTAGGATATAAAAACATTTGTCCTCTGTGAAAAGAGATGGGTACAACGTTTTCAGCAAAGAATATACAGTTAATGGAGTCCAGCAGATAAAAAATGCAAACACGATTGATATCAGGATCTTCACAATTCTCAGGTTCTGCTGGCGTCGTTTTGCGTCTTCTTTTCCTCTCAGTAAGTTGGGAGTCTTTTTTAAGGATCTAATAATAACAGAGTACAATGCTATTATCGCGATAAGGGGACATGCGTATGACAGAACTATTCCGACGCCATTGAAAATTGTCAAAGCCTCGTCGCTCATCATAAATCTGCAAAATGTTTGGTTACCTTCTTTGATAATGTTTGCAAAAAGAGCGTAAGGCAAAACAAAAAAGAAAGGTATCAACCAAGATAGTAACAGAAAAATCACCCGTATTTTTACATTCATTATCGTCATAGCTTTTAAAGGAAAAACAATGGCTACAAATCTGTCCAAGGCGATAAACACAAGGCTTAGAATAGAGACGATCTGTGAGACCGCTCTGAGGTACATTCCTAGTTTGCAGACAGTTGAAGCCAGAGTGCCACTTATAAAGACAGTTGGCGTCAACATTCCTTCGCTGACGTAAAGCAGCCAATAGAACAACGGTCCGAGAAGGTCGGAGACAGCCATGTTCACGATGTAGTAGTTTGTGCTGGTCCGCAAGCTGGGGGTCTTCACAACAGTTGCTACAACCAAAATATTGCCGATAAGCGCTACTATGCTTATAACAGATAGAGTTGATGTAAACATTATGGACACCATGGCGGAGCATCCTTGCAATGGGGGGTTAAACTGAACTTCTGTGGAATTATTCATTCGGTTACTTGCTTGAGCCTGCGACAGACTGTTAAGGTAGATAATCTGGAATTTTAAGAGAAAAAAATAGATAGACCCTAATTTTAATGACTCGTAAATCTTCAAATTATTAAAAACTGAATCATTGGATAATGCAATTCTAGCATTTTGATTGGCTTAGCCGTTATGGTATATGAGCTATTATACCATGCTCTCCATATATGGTCGATGTACGCGTCAGTTTAAAATTGGAAGCTAGCTGAGATTTTTTTTCACGAAGGATAGAACGGCGCCCGAAGCAAATTGTTTTAATTCATTTCTTAGAATACTAGAAATGCAATTTCATCGAAAGAAAAAAGACCAAAACAAACAAAAAAGCCACAAGAGCTTGTTTGACAGTTTGTCGAAAAACACATGAAAACACATGGAACTAAAGTACCTTGACCAGCTACGAAAGAAGGCAAGTGTTGTTTCTTCATGATCGCGAAGCCATTCGCCGGTCGAGTCACTCGCCGATAGATAACTGCGGCTTGTTTATCCGCCATCAAGAATATAAATCACCAGTAATCAGCTACAGATAGGCAGGTACAAAAGTCGGACCGGATCAACTCGGACCGCCAGTCCGGGTCGGATCGACTCGGACCAACTCGGATCGAATGAAAAAATAAAAATAAAATAAAATTGGACTCGGATCAACTCGGAGCAATCAAAACAATTGAATTAAATCAGCAAAACTGAAAGTTTAACCCATTTGGAGGGTAAAAAAGGCCAGATCATCTTTTTTTTCTCCGTGGCTTTCAGGCGCCATTTTGTTTTACTAGTGCCAGTTCCTCTCCGATCATGTTATAAACTCGTGGTTGTGGTTCGACAGTAAAGAAATGATAGTTTCAGTCGCCTAGAATGTACATATTTTCTTATTTATTAGACTACTGAATTATTTATGAGAAAATCATCAAAAGCCTTGTCTGTTGATCGCATTTAGATAGTTACCGAAGCGGTGTTTGTTTGTTTGTTCCTGTTTGTTTTTTTTTTTCCGCAGGACTCCTGAAACTTAATTTTAATGATACACTAGTGAGCAGCACACATAAGTTCCAGTGAACATTTTCAACTTGGAAGGAGGAGAAACCATGCTCGCCCAGGACAAAGGAAATTTCCATGCCCCCGGCAAGAATCGAACTCGCGACCCTCCGGTTCAGTGGTTGGAACGTACGATAAACATGTAGTATTCGGAGGGTCGTGAGTTCAATTCTCGCACGGGGTACGAAAATTTTCGTTGTCCCGGGCGAGCATGATTTCTCCTCCTTCCAAGTTGAAAATGTTCACTGGAAGTGTATGTGTGCTGCTCACTAGTGTATCATTAAAATTAATAAAAACAAAAATAAAATCAATTTACGCAACCACGAGTTCGTGAGAAAAAAAAACAAAATGGCGGGTGAAACTTAAGTGATACCGACTGATTTTATTTTTCTTTTTATAATCCGAGTTGTTTTTTTCATGAACCGAGTTGATCCGAGTCCAATTTTATTTTATTTTTATTTTTTCATTCGATCCGAGTTGGTCCGAGTCAATCCGACCCGGACTGGCGGTCCGAGTTGATCCGGTCCGACTTTTGTACCTGCCTGCTACAGATACCGGCTATGCAGCCATTCACTGGAGCAATCGAGGCGGCAGTATAGCTTCTTTTCTCGTTCAGCAAAACCAACTTGTGGCTTCAAACAACTTCATAACAAGCGACCGAGGTAACAGTTTTTCTCTGTTGTTCTTACTTTTATAACTGCACCGAAAATCCAAATTCACAGTAATTTCGACGGCTGCAGTGTCACTTAAAAATTCTTTTCCTTCACGTTATCTGCCAGGTTTTTTAGCTGTTCTGCTGTGTAAAATCCTAGAATCTCGATGAGTTTTTAAAAAAACTAATGTTCATCGCTACAATGTTTTGATTTTTCATTCATGCAGTCCAGGCGAGTCCGTTCGCGCGTTGACAGTTTTGATAGACGTGTGACATGTGAATAGCGGAAGTCCCATGTCTTTTCCGGTTTGTTCTAGTCGGGGAGATTCAACGAGATTTTGTGGGCGTTTTTAATAAAACAATATTCCACTCGCTCTTGTTGGATATGACATGATTATAGCCAACTCGGCGCTATGCGCCTCGTTGGCCTCTATCATCTCATATCCAACGCGCCCTCGTGGAATAATTGTTAATTAGCCCCTTGAACTTGAATTATACTAAACGCGAATGTCTGCGAACCTCAAACTTTCATAATGCGTGCATGAGCCATTTTTCTGAAAAAGAACACGACCGATCGACTGGCATAATGCGCATGCTCTTTAGAGTTATGAGGAACATGAAAAATTTAAATTCCTTTGCACTAGCATAACACAAATTCAAAGTAAATTGTTAATCTGGCACCATGAGGTGACTGCACACTTAAAATTAAAGTGTAACATTACTCCAAAAAAAAGTGTAAAATCTTTGCCAGCCCCGGCAGCCTTTTTTTTCTGTGTATTATTACACAGTTTATATTAGTGTAATTTAACACACAACTAGAGGTTATGTTTACACACCAATCAGTGTAATGTGAGTGGTTTACACTTTGGTCAAGTGTAAAATTGCAGTTCTTATAAGTGTAATAAAATACTAATAGAACAGTAATATTACACCGAATGATAGTGTAGTAGCTTTGCCAGCCCCGGCAGCCTTTTTTTTCTGTGTATTATAACACATTTTATGATAGTGTAATTTAACACCCAACTAGAGGTTATATTTACACACCAATCAGTGTAATGTGAGTGGTTTACACTTTTGTCAAGTGTAAAATTACAGTTCTTATAAGTGTAATAAAATACTAATAGAACAGTAATATTACACCAAATGATAGTGTAGTAGCTTTGCCAGCCCCGGCAGCCTTTTTTTTGTGTGTATTATTACACAATGTCCAATAGTGTAATTTGACACGCAACCAGAAGGTTCATTTACACACCAAACAGTGTAACTGTGAATGGTTTACACCTTGGTCAAGTGTAAAATTGCACTTCCCATAGGGGTAATAAAACATTAACAGAAAAGTAATATTACATCAATTTATAGTATTAGGCAAAAAAATGACGCATTTGAAAAATATAGGAAATCACATTTTTAATCACTGAATAATCAGCTAGACTTCTAACAATAAGTAAAAATGAAAGGTCAAGTGTGCAAGCCATGGTGTGTACTGTCTAACTGCTTAGGAGTGATGCGTACTGTCCTATCAAAAATCAGTGCTTAGGGCAGAGCCGGAGGAGGTTCAAGGTTTGAGCTGCAAGGTGGTACCCGGGAAAGATAGTTAGCAGGACGTCTTCCTCTCCAATTATTAGTATTTTTACAGTCATGTTGTAATGCCTTTCCCACAGTAAAAATGGATGGCGGTGCATCTGTTTTGCTTCCTCTAGATATTGTCCTCTTGTGGCTGCAACCTGCGTGACAAATGAAATTGAAAAAAAAAAAACAAGACTTGTTTTAGTCGATATTAAAGTGTTCTTAATTTATTGTATCGGTCATGAGGGTTGAAAATAGGACCGAGTGTTTTAGAGTTCCTTCTAATTGAACTAACACAATAATGCTCTCTTGACCAACATGGTTAAGGTAAACTACTTAAATTAAATTTCATTCACAAAATAATCACATATTAGGTTTAAGATGTAAAAAGGTTTTTTCTCTAGAGTCTTAGCAATCAAGTACATTTTTCCTCCTCTACAAAACAAAACACAGCTTCAGATATTCAATTCAGGTATCAAATCACAAATTAAAATAACTCAAAACATGTGTTATTCCAATCCATGACCCCCAGTAACACTATAGGCGGGCTAAACCACCTGACTGAGTCATTAGTCAAAGGCGGGCATGAAAATTACCACCTTGCATATATAACTGCCTGGCCGGTGGACCAGAGCCATGATGAAAACAAAACACACTATTAGACTTTATAACTTGGTATGGAAACAAAAGCTTGACTGGTATACAATTCAGATATCCGATCACAAAATTACTCAAAAAACATGTTTTATTCCAATCCATGACCCCCAGTAACAGGTGGGCAAAACCACCTGACGGAGTCGTTAGTCAAAGGCGGGCATAACCACCTTACATAACTGCCTGGCCGGAGGACCAGGGCCATGATGAAAACAAAACACACCATTAGACTTTATAACTTGGTATCGAAACAAAAGCTTCACTGGTATACAATTCAGATATCCGATCACAAAATTACTCAAAAAACATGTTTTATTCCAATCCATGACCCCCAGTAACAGGCGGGCAAAACCACCTGACTGAGTCGTTAGTCAAAGGCGGGCATAACCACCTTACATAACTGCCTGGCCGGAGGACCAGGGCCATAATGAAAACAAAACACACTATAAGACTTTATAACTTGGTATCGAAACAAAAGCTTCACTATACAATTTAGATATCCGATCACAAAATTACTCAAAAAACATGTTTTAGTCCAATCAATGACCCCCAGTAACAGGCGGGCAAAACCACCTGACTGAGTCGTTAGTCAAAGGCGGGCATAACCACCTTACATAACTGCCTGGCCGGAGGACCAGGGCCATGATGAAAACAAAACACATTATAAGATTTTATAACTTGGTATCAAAACGAAAGCTTCACTATACAATATTATTCAGATATCCGATCACAAAATTACTCAAAAAACATGTTTTAGTCCAATCTATGACCCCCAGTAACAGGCGGGCAAAACCACCTGACTGAGTCGTTAGTCAAAGGCGGACATAACCACCTTACATAACTGCCTGGCGGGTGGACCAGGGCCATGATGAAAACAAAACACAGCTATACCACTTTATAACTTGGTATTGAAACGAAAGCTTCAGATTCAATTCAGATATCTGATCACAAAATTACTCGAAAAACACGTTTTATTCCAATCCATGAGTCCCCTGGAAACAAGCAGGCAAAACCACCTCACATAACCACCTGGCCGGTGGACCAGGGCCATGATGAAAACAAAACACAGGTA